TCCATCTGGGTTTTAGATGGAATAGACATTTTATAAATACAGGTTGACAATTAATGTTTGGAAAATAATATATTAACCTTTCCTGCAGATCACAGCAATAAACTGTACTTTGTACAAAGGATGCTGATTGTGGGTGATAAATAAAAATATATTTAGAATAATGAGAATTATAAACTAATAGTAATAGCTATTTATTGAAGGGCTTATGTACTAGCCACCATAGAGAGAAGATTTTATATATTATCTCTTTTAATGTTTATAATATCTCTTTATTACTATTAATTCTCATTTTATGGATGAGAAAATGAGACAAAGAGATTAAGGTACTCAAGGTGAATACTTAATTGGCATTCTATTCTTAGTATTCTCAGAAAAATTATAAAGTAGGATTTGAATCATAGTCTATCTGACTTCAAACCTATGCTCTTAAAACTGTACTAATAAGCTATTACAATTTTAGAACCAGGATTCAAACCCTATATCGTAGGATTGTTTTTATGAACTGGGTACATATCAAGTGTTATACATGTTAGCTATTACATTAAAAAATTTCAAAATCTGTTCTTTAAATACACAGCAGAACATATAACTATTACCTCAAATATAATTTTTGATATTTTAAAAGTAAGAACAAAGTAAAGAAGATAATTTAAAGTTTAAAAAACTATTGTGCAAGACAGTAAGAACAAAATTGTTTTCTTGGGTTTGGGCAAATGCTACGCATGGACAACCAAGTCAAGTTTATTACTATTTCTCATGAAAGTAATGTTCATATGACTGTAAGAGAAACTACAGTCATTAGCCACATAACAACCTTTTGGTCAATGACAGACCAGATACATGATGGTGGTCTCATAAGATGAGCACCATATAGCGTAGGTGTGCAGGAGGCTATACCATCTAGGTTTGTGCAAGTACACTCTGTGATGTTTGCACAATGACGAAATCACCTAACAACACATTTCTCAGAAGGTATCCCCGTTGTTAAGCGACGCACGACTGTAACAGTCATATGACAATTGTCTACTGAGCTCACCATTCATCCCAGTGGAAATGCCAAGTCCCAGCAGAAAGCATTACTAACATTGGGAAAACTCCAAGACAATGAAACCAAAAGGCCCAAGACAACAATTATTTTTAAAGAAGGACATTTAAATTGCCTCTAGACTTTTATGAGATTAAAATCCATGAAAATGGATTATATGAGGAAGAAAATATTTTCATTCATTCACCTAATAAATTTTATTAAATGACTTTTGTGGACATGTGTTGTCTTACGTGTCACAAGACAGACAAAGAGTTTATAGTCTAAAAAGGATGTAAGATGTGAATGTAAATCACAGGATTACTGGGTAGGAATGGGCAAGGCTCTACAAAGGGGAGGCCACGTACAATGTGTGATTATTCTGCATTGTCTCTAAAAATTAAAAGTCCAATCTCAGGGTGTCAAACACACCTTTTCTAGTATTATACAGCAATCAGTGGTATTACTAATTCAGGCAACATTTAACTTTTGTCTTAAGTTGTGCAGGAAAATGATGAAAGATTAGAGTGTACTAGAATTTGTTCTCTCAAATAATCGAACTAAAAGATGCTATTTATTATAGTCCTATGATAAATATAAGTGGATTATTTTTTTCTGTCACTCTTTTCTTCACCTGGAATGTATGCTTTAGTGAAACACACTCTCAAATTTCATTTCTGTGCCAAGAAGCAGATAGTAATCATAGGTAATATTTTTAAAGCATTTCTCCATGTGTTAGGCACTTAAAATATTATTTCAATCAATTTTTGTAACATCCTTATGAGGACAATATTATTATCATCTGCATTTTATCAAGGAGGAAAACTTCCAGTTTGGAAGACTGAATAACTTGCCCAGAATTACACAGCTAGCAAATGATCTGAGATTGAAATGCAACTCATCTGATTCCTGGGTCCATAGGTGTCACGCCAGCTCTAGGCTGCCTCAGTAATGGATGAATTGAGAGATAAGTCCCTGCATTCATTGTATTGCCAGTCAAGTTAACAAGCCCTTCAGGCAGTGACTGCAATATTTCCACACGGACAAGGCTTTAACAATGGAACCCATGCTAACAGCTATAACTCACAAAAGATACAAATACTTCCTGACCACATGAAGTTTACAATCTACCAACATTCATATTCAGCAATTATCTATCTACCTACCTGCCTTATTTACTGTTAGAAAAGCTTATAGTTCCAGAACAAACAGCATAAGGCCTTTTACAAGGTGATAATTGTGTTGTTCAAACCAGAAGTGCTCAAGGGAGGTAGTGAAGAGGAATGGGTGAGATATTGAAAAACAGTGTAAACGAGGTACAGAGTATAAATGAAACGAACCCACTTCTGGTTCGGATGTGACAGCCAGTATACATTGTGGAATGAACAAGGCAAACCCCTTTTCCATGGGCCATTCATTTATCTAATCCATGGGTCACACACCAAGACTCATGCTGCTGTACAGCATCGTAGTGAAAAAAAAAAAGGCTCTGAATTGAAAGAAAGTTTGCATATTTCCCCACTCAAAATTAATTTCACTATTTTTAGTTTTAACAAAGGCTGAGTACAGAGTCAGGTCAAATGTAAAATGCACGGGTTTTCTTCACAAAAGCATAAACTGTGAATTAGGATTTTCCTTTACAACTGAGTGTGATGGTTTTCAAACGAGATTAACGTTTCTCAGGGATTTGTTTCCCTTTGTCTTACATGTATCCACATTCTCTCTGCCTACTCTTTTTTCCTCTTATTCCTGCTTTAACTATCTCCCCCTTTCCTTGTCCTTGGGCTTTAGAAAACAAAATACACTATTTTAATATTAATCAAGCAGGCAAATAATTAGTCGCAGCTGTCTTCAAACTGGCGGGTGAGGTGGCCATTGTATAATTTAAATCCATTGTTGAATGATGTTTGTTTATTCAACGTTTTAAATAGCCACCCCAGAAATCCAGGAGGGAAAAAATATACTTGAAGGTGCAACAGGTCTGTAGTATCGAAGGAAAAATCACCTTAATACTTTCTTCCTTTGCCCTTGTCCTTTTGTACACTTCATGATTAACAAAGGAATGAAGGGGGCCGGCCCAGTGGCATAGTGGTTAAGTTCCTGTGCTCCACTTCTGGGAGGCCAAGTTGCAACGTTTCCCATCCCTGGCTCGGACCTACACACTGCTCATCAAGCCATGCTGTGGAAGCATCCCATATACAAAGTAGAGGAAGATTGGCACGGATGTTAGCTCAGGGCCCATCTCCCTCACCAAAAAATAAAAAAAAAAATTTTTTTAAAGGAATGAGGCATGAAAGGAAGAGAATATGACTATTACTATATCTAGAAAAAAAGTAGTGTACTTGAAGGGCTGTCTGATGTCCTAGAGAGAGTACAAACACACAAAATGAGAAAGATCCTTGAATGCACATATCTGTGCCTATTATTTCTCACGGCATTTATCTAAAATTCAATGTCTGCACTTTCAGTAAAATCGTATACCTTTGCTAATGCAGAATAGTCTGTAAATAATGTCAAATGCGGTGTTATTCAAAAAGTATCTATCAAAAATTCTTGGGCAATACAAACACGGACTCAGATGCTCAAGAATGGAAACCAACACCAGTTCTTTCACTGATCATGCTGAACGTTTCAGTGACTGTAAAAAGCACTAAGACTAGAGTTTAAGGTCAATGTGTAGATCTGTTGCTCATAAAACATTTATTGCATAAATAAATGTTAAGGACCAGCAGCCAATAACAAAGGTCTAATTCCTTAGGCGGACGTATTCTAGCCACTTATCCAAATTGCAATTGATTTTCCTTAGGAAAGAAAAAAATCTGTTGATTAATGTATTTCATAATACTATGTTTTAAATGAAAAGAAATACTGAGATGAATGTCACACAGTTTTGTGAAAATGTAGTTAAATTATGAATGGGTTAGAATCGGTCTTAACGTGAAAGTTCTCCAGTTCCGTTTTGCTTTTTTTGAGGGGAGGAGCTTCTGTGCCAGCAGGCCTGACTACTCTTCCTTCACTAGATCACAATGCAGAAATCTCCATTCCCGAATGGACCCTTCTGGTCTGCCCTGGACCATTCACTATTCATTTGTAGGACTCAGAAAGGTGCACATTTTTGTACCCACTTATGAATAGCCATATCTTCTGCTCACTGAAAAATAAAATTCACCTTAATTCTAAAATACACATTTTACAAGAGGAATGTTTTCATCATTGCTCTTGGTGGTGAAAGGATAGGATGTGTGCGTATGTGTGTGCGTGTGTGTGTGTGTGTTGGGGGAAGTGTCTTCCAGTTCTCAGTGAAATGGTTCCCATGAAGTCAGTCAACATTTCTGGAGTACCTCAGGGCACTGTGGCAAGATCTCAGGAGCTCTAGGGTATAGGATCAGATGTGTCCCGAGTATTACAAATTCTATTTGTTTCAGATGATGTTACACATGGGTAAACTAACTAGATGTCGCACAAAGAAAACCCATCTCACTTGGGAAAAGAATTGGGGCTGATCCTGGAAAAGTAGGGAGGCACAGTGTCTCACTATTTCTTAAAATCCTAGCTGCCAACGTTATGTAGAGGGTTACCCTGCACACCTGCCATATTCTGCGTCAGAGAGAGGGACTTGAAGCCTCCATCAAAGTCCCTGTGAAAACCAGACTATCAAACGACCTAAGTGTCAACGCTTCAGCTAGAAGAGAAACAAAATTCTGTGCTTTCCTTCCTCATTCAGGGCCTACTTCCTCTCCCCTCCCTCCCCGCTGGGAAACAGCAGAGGATTATCTCCGAGAAAGTAGAGAAAAGCACGTCACAGCGTCTGTTTGAAAAGAACAGAAAGCCAAGGAATAAGGAGGACCCTGGGAAAGTGCACGGAGGGTGCCCGGGGGAGTCAGGGGAAGTTACTGCAAAGAGCGCAATTTTCCAAAGGCGAAGGGGTGGGGGTCCCAACGGCACACGGACACGCCTGGACGCGGCGGCTACTCACGCCTCTCCGCCGGCCTCCGCGTCGCTGTCCGCGGCCCGCTCCTCGCCGATGTCGGGCAGGGGGAAGAACGGGGTCTTGGGGCCGGGCCCGGGGGGTATCCAAGCGCTGGGCTCTCGCTCTCCGGGCCCGGGCGCGCGGGGGTTCCGTGGGCTCGAGGCGAGACTGCTGCTGCCCGGGGCGCCCCCGATGGACGGCAGCGCGGCCCAGACCCCGCCGGGGGCCACCGGATGGGCGGGGGAGCCCGCGGCGCTGCAGCCACCGCTGGAGGGGGCAGGGGCCAGGGGCAGGGGCTGGACCCTGGCTACTCTCGGGCTACTGGGCAGCGAGAGGGGGGTCCCTACCGCGTCTGCCGCGCGGCTGGCCCCCGAGACCCTGGGGTAGGAGGCGGTGAGCAGAGGATGGAGCGGGGCGGGCGCCCCCCGCGAGGCGGAGGGGGAGTGGGGCGCCAGGGCCCGGAAGAGGGTCACGGTCGGGGCCGTGCCAAGCGAGGCGCCCGCGCCGGAGCCCGCCGGCCCTGCGGTGGCAGCGCCTCCCGAGTGGCTGGAGGAGGCGACCAGCGAGGGGGCCGCCGGGGGCGCCGTCGAGGTCTTGAAGATTTTGGCAAAGAGAGACCCAAGGTCCAACACAGCGACCTTCATGTCCCAGCCTTGGAAGTCCCGCTGCTGCGTGCACCTCAAGAGCACAGGGAGTCAGGCTGCGGGGCTCCATCCACCGCCGCGCGCAGGGATTGGGCGGACCCGGGGGGCCTGGGGTCCCCGCACGCCGCGGAGCCCCGGGCCTCTGGTGCGCTCTGCGCACGGAGGACCCTCTCGCGCGCCCAGCCGCGCACCACTTCAGACAGACCTTCCCCGACGCCCAGGCCGCCGCGGCCACACTCTGCGGGGAGCAGTCCCTGCCCCGTCCCAGTGCTGCCAGGCCCCCGAGGCCCGAGGGTCCCGCAGCCCACGGAGGCGACGTGCTGCAGCTGCCAGCGCCCCCGCGCGCCGAGCCTGGCGAGGCGGGCCTCCGCCCGCGGAGACACCCCGACGGGCCCCGGGACGGCGCAGGCGGTTGCTACGCTAAACAAACCCCTGCTTAGCTCACCGCTAATTGGGCCCCAGACCGCAGCCTGGGGCTGTGTCCACAACAGTCACCCTGGCTCCTCTCCTCCACTCTGCCTTAAAGGAGCACTCTCCAATTTCTCCATCGCCCTTAGAGCTTCGCCAGATTAGCCTCCTGGGCTGGGCGAGGAATTTGAACACAGCCCTGAGAAAGATAACCCTGGGTCCAAAAGATCTAGAACCTATCTAGTCTGACAAGACCAAAAGTGCCAGGTCAGGGAGATGGCCAGCTCTCTGATATGAGGGAAGCTTAATAAAAACGTGTATTCAGGTGAGTAGACCGAGGTGTGTCGTTAAAGATGACATAGGGGAACAGCAGCGAGTGCCTCACCCAAGAACTTGGAAATAAGATTGGACTCTAATAGCTAAACTGGTAAGATCCATATACAATGTATGTGTTTAAACACCCACTGGAGTGAATCAAGAGATTTAATAACCAGAATGTTTGAGAACTCAGACTGTAATTAGACTGGTTTGGATACAAACTCAAAGGCAGATATGAAAGGTAAGAGTTTTTTATTAAACAGAATAAACTGCATTTTGCTAAATCTGAAGAAATACATGTGAAAGAGAGAGTGTTGGAGAGTGAATATCTGTAGTAGTGGGGGGTCAGTTTGGGGCAAGATTAAAAAATAAGATATTGACAGGGTTTATCCACTAATGTTCAGCAGAGAGTTTCTGTTCTGATCTCAGGAGAGAGAGAGGCAGGGAAAGGAGATGAGTAAGTCTGGTAGTGAATAAATTAACTGGCATTCATGATTATATAGCTTAGTCTTTTGCAAGTTATCCAGCTAGATTCTGAGCCACAGTCAGTTTCCGTGGTAATGCCAAGCTTTGCATCTTTTTGTAGACAGCTACTATGATAGCCATGTCCTGTCACGATCCCTTTTCTGCATCTGACTACCACAAACAAACGGGTACTGGGCACTTTCCTACTTCAAGATTGTGTGAAGCACTGAGATGTAAAAAAGGAGGTCTTTTCCTCCCATGGGGTGGAGAGATCAGCTTCACATCACACGCTAAGTGTCAGGTGAGTGCCCCAGAAAACAAGTACAGATGGGGGCAGCCGTCACAGTCAGCATTAGCTTGAGGAAAGAACATTTATGTGCTTAAGAGAAATAAGACACAAGGCTGATGATAAGGGTCGGATTATCAGTGGCCTGGGATGTTGGGAGTGGGAAGAGCATGCAGTTGTCAGCATGTAAAGCATCAGCACACAGTGAAGAATCAAAATGAGGGGAAGAGGGAATGAGTAACAGACATATCCGACAGCAGCAACGGAAACTACAGGCAGACTCTCAGGGTCAGATCAGGGAACCCGTGCCAACTCCGTCATCATGTGAGGACGCCAGAAGCAGGCTGGGGATGGACCGTCAACATTGCTCATATTCTCATTGTCCCTCTTTCATAGCAACTCATCAGGTGACCTCAGAGGTGTGTGAGGTCCCTCAGAACATCGGACCATTGTCATACAGCACTCACTCAGGATTGCAAAGCTCTTTCCTAAAGATTTTTTGTTTGCTTATTTCATAAGGGTCTTGATTCTGATTCATAGAACAGTTAAATCTTCAATATATTAGATCACTCTCAGTGCAAGCAGAGGTCATTTCTAGAGTATGCACTTTCAATGTAAGATGCTAATCATTTAATTGATTGTCAACATGTATAATGTAACTTGCAGGTACAGGCAGCAAAGAAGAACCATTGCCGAGTGAAGCCTGATTCAGCTCACCCACTTCCTTGGAAGCAGCATTTGCTCACTACCACATCTCAGGGTTCCTGATTTTTCAGGCTTGGAAATCTGATAGGCCCAGGACGGAGCCCCACTAATCTGACTCATAAAATACTGATGCATTAACCTCAACTCAAATGTGTTAACTAATAATTACACAAATGTAGAGTTGTCCTCTGCTCTTTCCCTAGACAGGTATTTCTGTTAAGACCAAATTAAGTTGAAAGATTGATAGATGAGCATAGAATCAAAGCAAGGGGCGTTGAGTCACATAGTTCCTATCTAGAGGACATTAACCACAAGAGCCAATCACCCTCCTCCTTCTTGGGAGAGCAACCCTACATAAACAGTGGGGCGTTCACCCAAAGACAGAGTCTGTCTTTGGCTCTCTAACTTTAGATGGGTCTGTGCTTCCATTACTAACCACTTCCCTTTTGTGCACATGATTTTCTTTAAGGATACAGATACTGTGAATAAGGCTACAGAAAATCTGCATACTCTTCCAGATCCCAGCCTTGAAAGTATTCTATCTCTGAGGTGTGTTTGCAGTATCCTATCTGTTATGGGTTGACTTGTGTCCCTCAAAAAGATATATTGAAGTCCTAAACCCCAGTTCTTGGGCATGTGAACTTATCTGGAAATAGGGTCTTCATCGATGTAATCACAGTAAGACAAGGTCATTAGAATGGGCCCTAATCCAATATGACAGCTGCACTCTTAAGAAGAGAGAATCTGAACACACAGGGAGAACACGATGATGACAGAGGCAGAGATTGGAGTGATGTGACTGCCAAGACAAGGAATGTCAAGGGTTGTCAGCCACTGCCAGAACCTAGATTCTTCCCTGCAGGTTTCAGAGGGAGCATGGCCCTGCCGGCATCTGATATCAGACTTCTAGTTTCCAGAACCGCAAGAGAATAAATTTCTTTTATTTTAAGCCACCCAGTTGATGGCACCTTGTTACGGTAGCCCTAGGAAACTAATATACTATTGGGGTATTAATTAATTATTGGGGTACTTCATGATCATAGTATTTTGTTGGTACTTCTATGAAAGTCATCAGCAGGTTTATTTGCTCTAAGAAGCTGGCTACAAATTAAAATGATAATTGTAATTGTCTGAAATCTACGGGGAGAATGATAAGAATCATGAAAAGGACAGGGGAAGAAGTATCATTGTCAGTTAGGGTAGTGGATGTAATATTCTGGCCAGCAGCCTCGCGAAGAAGGCACAACAAATGAATGATTGATCCTCTTGTTTGAAGGTCCTTTGAAAATGACCTATAATTGCAAACATGATAAACAATTCTTAGCAAGATGCTGCATCTTTTATACCCATTGTTCATCCATCAACAGTCTTTCAGACAGATGTTAGATGCTACCAGGCTTCTCTGTTAATTACCAGTAGCATGCCATTCTTATAACATGAGCCCCATAATGGCCTGGCTCAGGCAGAGTAATGAAATGAAAGTAAATGCAGTAAATCTTTGTTTCTAACTACGACAGTGTTGATTTGAGATAGACTTTATTAGAAATGTCAGAGCAATGTTTTATGCGATAATATTCTTCTGCTTATACTGGTTAATAATTTGATGAGTTGGTTTTCTGAGGTGTATAATAACGGTTGGCTACATCACTGAGAAAGTATTAGGAAGTTATGACCATGTTGCTATGAAGAAATGTTGTGTTTTGGAAACCTGAAAATTAAAACAAATAACCTGAGTAATTAATCTGTTTAAGAATTTAAATTGCCTCACTTAACATGACACCAAGGCCAGAACCTATAAAGAAAACTATCCAATTTGATTATAAGAATTTAAAACTTCTGAACAATGAAAGACATTTGTTGATTCAACAAATATTTACTAAGCACCACGATGGAGATAGTACAGTGTGGGAGACCCTGGAGCTGGACTTTCTGGGTTCATATTGTCTCTGCCAGTGACCGACACCCAGGCCTCTCTCTGTCCCTTAGTTTCCCCAACAGTAATCCAGGGATGATAACGGTTCCTATCTCAAATAATGGTACTTTGTGAGAGTAACACTAATTAATACATGCTTGGTCATTGGAACAGAGCCTAGCACAGGATAAGCTTTCAGTAGATATTAGTTTTTATTGTATATGATGCCGGGTACATTGAATAACCCAAAAAAGGATCTGGAAGGAAATTATAGCTACATTTACTTATAAGTTTATTCATTTTTGTACTGAGTGTTTTCAATAAGTGTGTATTATTTATTTTCAATGATAAACATGATAAAAGAAAACAAAGCAGATCAAAACTTCAAAAGCCTCAGGCAAGCCTTCTTGATATTTGATTAAGGACTTTGGATTCTACTAAGGGAAAAATATTGAAACAAGAACAACTTTAAACCTATCAAAGAGCAGCTTTAGAGCTCTGAGATTATTAACACAGCATGACTGAATCTACTGGGTGTGGCAGCAGATATAGTGTAATGGAAAGAGCAGAGACCAGACCAATGAGACTTTTAAGGTACTTTCAGCTGCAAGTAACAGGGGAAGCGCTCGCTCACAGTAGCTTGAGCATTTGAGATGTTTAAGTAGCTCACAAAGCAGGAAGCCCACAATAAGCTGGTTCTGGGAATGGTCCCGTGAATTACCAATGTTATCAGAGACTCAAGATCTTTCTTTCTTTTTTGTTCACACATTGTCAACGAGTCACGGCTTGTTTCCTCCTGGAGGTCTGAAGATGGTGCCCTCAGCCCCAACTATCTTTTCCTCAAATAACTACATTCGAGGCAAAAAGATACAGCTCAGTCTCTCTCCCTCTCATAAAGAAATAAAATACTTTCCAGAAGCTTCTCAAG